TTGGCTCTCAGGACATGGTTGGCTGGTTGGTTGAACATGTTGGCTGAGTACGTGAAAAAGGAATGTCTTGTTTACTTCTCTGTTCTCCATCCTCGTCTTCTTGCTCCAAACCATGGTCATTCTGTTCAACACCCAGTTCTCACTCTAGATTCCTAAGTAGTATCCTTGCTTCTTTTCTTGTTTCTCAACCCCACAAACATGACAGAGTCAACATTTTCAACCAACCGTGTGCTGAGGGTAAAAGTGGCAACTGTGTCTCTGAAAAGTGCACAGTGTGATGGGGTGGCAGATGAACCCACAACACAGAATGAGGCGAGGGAAGGACAGGGCGCTGTGGGAATGCACAGAAAGGCACCCTTGCTGGATGACGGGTTAACAGGAGTCAGTCCTAAGGGAAGAGCAGGACACTCCTCGATGGTCCCCCACAGCTTCCTATCTAAAGAGAAGAGGGGTAGAAAGAGGAGAGGTAAGCCCTGGTCCCACCCCAGACTGTTCCTTTTCATTTCTTAATCAGCAAAAGTGGTTTATGAGCCATTGTTAGCTGTGGCTTTCTCAGCCGCAGGCAGGCCTCATACTCAATAAAGAGCCTCGGTTTTCAAGGTGGGAGGAGATGGGCTTTCTTTCTCCATATCTGCTTTGTGTAAATAAATTCAGAATTTAAAGCTGCTTCTAAAACAAAGATTTTAGAATTGATAGGCTGTTTAAGCACACACACTCCTACTTGCAGGAAAACTTTGCCAGGTCCAACACCGCTGTGTGCAGGTCAAGTTTATGTTCATCCAATTAACCATCATTAATGCTGTCCATACTTAATCAAACCATGCCCCAGCTGATTCTCAGCAGACTCACAATTGCTTTGCTCTACAGCAGTAAACTCTTCTAATTGAGTATTGCATGCAGTTAATTAAATATGAAAATAGGATTGTGCAGATCAAGTTTCCAGACTTCTCCATGAACTTGTTGGTTCTGTTTAGTATCTACTCAGAACCCTTTGTTTCCTAGCCAACTGGCCAAAAGATTGATGTATAAAGAGGGTCACAGATCTGTACATCTACGGTTTTTGGCAAGTCACAGTTTTTGCTTTTCAAAGCTAACAACTTCGAGTGGCATAGAAGGTACAAGTTAATCTTGTGTAAAGTTTCTTGTCATTACTGAGAGGCAAAAGGACATGAGCTTTCTTGAATCACAACTGTTCAGAAAGCCTGGGAAGCGAGTGGGAACTTCCTGCTACTCTTAGCTCCTTCCTTTCCGCCTGCCACACCCCCTGCTGTGCAGGGTCAGGTGCCACAGAAACTCTTCTCATGAAGTGCCGGGCAGCGTGTGGGCCTGTCTGAGAATACAGGATCTTTATGTGAGCCCCACAAAGGCAAGGCTGAGCTTAAAAGACTGACCACCTGTTCCCTGTAGAGTTGGTTATCCACTCATTGACATTGCTGAAGATGATTCAGACAAAGAAGAATTCACAGTCCTTGGAATGACAGTGCAGATGTGATGCCCAGTTCCACTTGTAATTCCTTTGTATGTCAGTTACTTCATCTGTGATATGGGGAGAACAATCACCTATCTCTTCATGCCACTCTGCAGATTTGATGGGAAAATGCGGGGCTAGCACTTAATCGTTTAGTGCAAGCAGGCACAGTGAGGGCACAGTAAATAATACCGTGGTTGTTGCAATGAACATGACTGCCGTTTTTTTAGGACGTTTTCATCCTTGTCATCTTGAAAATCTGCATGGAGACTTTAAGGTTTTGTGTTTGTTTTAGTTTTTAGTTTGAAGCTTCAGTCCCAACCAGAATTATCTCTTTGTTACCTCATCAAATTAGCAAGGGTCACCATTCTATAGAGTCTCTCGCCTACATTAGAAGAGTTGGGGGAATGAATCATACTGCCTCCATGTCACTCCTTTTGTCACTCCTTTTCCCTCTCCCAGGCTCCTGTGGAAGATCCTCTTTGGTTTCTCCATAGACCAGCCTTCCCCTTGTCCTGAAAGAACACGGCTGGGCAGAGGGCTGGTGCCTGGCCTGTGAAGGAGTCACCCTTACCAAACTAACAGAGCCACAGACTTTCCCATCCCTACACCTCCCCCGACTCCCTTCCCCTACCTCCCCTGTTACCACCCTATAGCCTGGTACCCCACCACCCTTAGCTTGATTCTAGCTACCGCTCAAGAGCTGTGAGGCTTCCTATCCCATTACACCCAGAACATGAGATCTCCTATGCCAATTAATTTATCCAAGTAGAAGATCACACTCCTCGATAACCTTAAAGCATCCTCCTCTCTTACTCTCCTGTCCTTTCACTTTAATAGTGATTCTGAGTATTCAAGACAGACTGAAGTTTTCTGAAGCATAAAGCAACTACTAACTTAAACTTCAAATTTCTGATACGCATGGGCCCTGGCTTGTTGTAACTCCCTTCTTCCTCACCACCCAGGACACTATAGCTATCATACAAACACAAAGAACTGCTGTACTCAAGTGATCTTATAACCCGCAGGGTAAGCAGGAGGATTCCTCTTCTTAGAAGTCCTTGGGTGTCCCCAGATATATTGGTGTATCCTTAACACATGGCACCAATCGCCCGATGGGTCTGGACTCTTTGCAATGCCCTTTAACGACCAACCAGACAACTTCATGTGTTGATGTTGTTTTTCTAATGTGATTAAAGGTACAATAAGGTATGTGTGCAACAAGAGGCAAAGCCATTGTTCTGCATCATTAAGCTCACAGCAGCCCCAAAAAGAAATTGTAGGCAGCTTGCCAATGGCCCTAATGAAGAGCATCTCTTTGAATTATCTCTGGATGAGGAAAGGATAAAGTCTGAGCCCTGGAATATTTGATCCTCTTTGTGCTGCTGTTACAAGGGCTTACTGAAGCCAGACGCACTGGACCTTCTGGAACTGTAATTTATGGAAACCTTAATTTCTCTGCTCTAATAAGGCTTTGCATAATAAGAGCGAGAATGCAATTATTAATTCCTGCAAGTGTTTTGTGAATTCCTTTATGCTATGGTTCAGGACTCCCAAAGAACAGGAGAAAGGGGATTTTACTTAGTTGGCACAAGGGTAATGGGTCTGAAAAGTAGTTTGAGTTCCTTGAAAATAAATCTGCATGGCTTCCTAAATTGCTGACAAAGTGTATTCCAGATGGAAGTCATTTATCAGCAATTTACTGCACAATGCTTCAGCCAGAAATATTTCCACATAAATTCACCTACTAAAAAAACAAACAAACAAACAGAATCCAGGCTCCCTCTTTTGGGGCAGGTACGTGTGGGGGTGTGGGGGCAGAGACAAATAACACAGATGAATAAAAGACAAGTTAACGTAGATTTGCCGGGGATGTGGCAGAGTTACCTTCTGGAGGATGCCAGCGTCACTAATACATCCACAACAATCACTGCTAAGTAATATTTTTGTGCAGTGATGGTAAAAAGCAAAACACTCTTAAAAGCGAGTTTTAGAAACTACCTTTTGCTTACTATGCTTGGCTTTTTCATATGCAGCGATGGAAGTCTGCAACACAACCACCGTGCCTGAGTGATGGTATCTGTTGTTCTGCACGCTCGACTAGCTGAGAACCCCCTTGCTCTCTGTATGGGATAACCTGGTAAACTGAGGATTACGACACACCACGTGATTACACAAGGGATGAGTCAGATAGCCACTGGTGGCAGCACTCATGCCTAATTCTCCCACACTTCCCCAGACTCCTTTGAAAAGGACACAAGTCCGGCAGAGCACAGAGTGTGAAGTTGCAGATCAGAAGTATATGTATTTCCAAGACTTAAGACGCTTGTTTGTTGTAAGATATAGCCCCTTTACACCCAGAGGGAGTCCCAAGCCTTAAAAGGTTTGTTTTAAACCTCGTTATGTCTCAGTGGAGAAGGCAGACAGACAGACATACCTTTTATTTACCCAGGGTCATTGTATCTAGGTTTTGCCCCCACAGGCAGCTAACTCACTCTTAGCTGAGTTTCGCTGTCTCTTTTAACCCATCGCCCTCTGGTGGCTCATGAAAAAATGACACCCAACTGAGGGCTAATCAAATTGTTAAGTCCGGCTCTTTAAAAAAAATGTATTAATATGACATTTATTGTTATAAATCAAGAGACATGTACCCTTTGTTCCTCACTTGCAATGAAAAACCTTATTCCAATTCGCTCATCTAAAAATACCTTCTTAGCAGGATTATGATTTTTTGATTACTGAAGAAAAATCTGTGGGAGAATGACTTAAAGGAAAAATCCTTAAGTACCAAGGTAGGTTACGGGTAGCAGCATCAAAACCTTCTGGTTTTGGATAGGACTTGCCTATGTTAAAAGAAAACTCTCAACAAAGATGTAAGATAAGTATTTGGGTAGTGCTGTAAATATCCGTTTCATCTCAACTGAAATTTCACGTTGACGTGGAAGATCCAAGGAGTCATCTGCTGTGGATGACAGCATCCGAGAGCGAGCCACTTGCTTTTGAAGTTCTTAACATTTTCACAGAGCAAGGTTTAGAATGGCAAGTGGGTAGCATCAGTGTGAACCACATGTCCCATTACAAGAAGTTGCTGAAGGAACTGAGTCAGCAGAGGGCTTGTACTCTACTGAAAGGAGCACCTTATAACTATTTGTAAACAGAGACAAAACCTCACACGCATTAATCATCATCCACGTCTCCTCCAACTTGTTCAAAGGGTGTGTGACCACTCTTTGACCCTTCCAGGTCAACACCGTGGAGAGAGGTCAGTTGTAAAGGAGGCTTGTGCCATGACTGACTGAGACATATTTCATGACCATCAACATCTATTTATATTTTCAAATACAGACACCCAGGCAGTCCCATTGGAAGGGAAATTTTTAAAGAGATTTAAGAGAAAACATACAGAGAAGTCAGAAAGGCTGCCTCATTCAGAACATAAACATGCACAAAAATCCCTAATTCCTTTCCTAGAAGTTGTACTCTGCCAGGTGAGTGCCTACGCACGTCTACGGAATAAAATGCAACGTGTTACCTGACAAACTTCATAGAGCAATTTGTACTGCTCCTCTTGCTTCTGCAGGCTGCACAAACTGCATCCCATGTTTAGAGAAACGTCAAAGGAAGGCTTCAGGATTTGCCAGCACCCGGAAAAAGCAGCTCCCTTAGAGTGCAGGCATTGAAGGTATCCTCGGAGCCCCAGGTGAATCAGGCGGCTGCAACACTTCACATTGGCGTTGCTCTCTAAGGCTGGAAAACAACTCTCTCTCCCCTTCCACGCTTCCCTTCCTTCCCTCGCAGCATGCATGCACACATACACACACACACACACACACACACAGACACACATGCACACCACTCCCTCCTCCGAGTGACTCTGGCAGCTGGATTGTGGTCCAATGCACACACTATATATACTGCTGCTCATGCATATTAATCAGCTCTCATTGACTATTCATAACAGACAATGATACAGAAGCTATAATTGCCAACTATGACAGTTGAAATTTCTCTAATTAACAAGCAAGTGCTCCAGTGGTAGGGAATAATAAAAGACACTAACAATTTCGCAAGCTATTTTCTGGCAGTTACAAATATACATGACTGCATTTTTAGCGAGGTCTCTTAGGATAATCCCTAATGTGTTTCAGCTAAGTAGAAATTCATTTTAAAATATATCATAAAATTTCTGATGATATAAAATGTATTTAATGCTGCAGATAATGATGGCATATAAACGGATTTTATGGAAAGGACATGTTTTGAATAATGTTCATATAATATTTAGTGCTTTACAAAGTTGCAGGAAAAATACTCCACATATGAATAAAATATAAACATTTAAATTGCAGGATATATCCATGAGTATGCAAAGTAGCTAGGGGTTATAAGGAGATAGGCTGCCCTACAGGTGAGCAAGCAGATAATCATTCCCCAAATGCATTTTCAGTTTGAAAGGCAGAAAGTTATTTGTTGAACACTTGCCCAGCTGACTGGGAGGAGGAGATGCGGCCAGCTTCATGCCACCTCCTCAACTATACAGATGCTGCAGCAGAAATTGGAGAGACAGGGATGGCATCACTGAGCCGTCACAGGTTACTACAGATCAGTATCTGGTATTCCTTATTTGCCTACACCTCCTCAGCTATGCCCTGCGTCATGTGTCAAGAAAGCAGGGAACTGCAAAATTACATCTGGGAGGTGGGCACAGGTCGCACATTAAGAATCTTGGAGGTGAGTGGATTGCCTGAGCCCGCGGGTTCGAGACCCGCCTGGGCAACTTGGCGAGACCTTATCTCTACAATAAAAATCAAAAAATTAGCCGGGCGTGGTAGCGCACACCTGTAGTTCCAGCTACTTGGAAGGCTGAGGTGGAAGGATCGCTGGAGCCCAGCAGGTCGAGGCTGCAGTGGCCGGGAGCGGCCACTGCACCCCAGTCTGGGTGACAGAGTGAGACTCCAACTCAAAAAAAAAAAAAAAAGGAATCTTGATCCCTGTTGCAGTGTTTGTCATCTCCCCCTTCAGCCTCTGTCCCACTGAGTAGGCTTGATGACTTTTTAAAAAACTTTGCTTTTTGTAGATGATTGCCCCACTGCCTGAATGAAATGCACAGGTACCTTTTTCTCTGCTATAACAGTTGATGTTTAAAATTTTCACAATTGCTTCCAGAGACAGCCTTCATCACCCCTTCTTTTTACAAAGGTTTAACTGTCTCTGAGGAGGACTCCTATGTCCCCTGTCAAAAAGTGTCATGGGGCCTGAAAAATAATGCTCCCTTTCTCTGGGAGCCAAGAAACATCTGAGATGTGATGAAACCAGTCCCAATAAAATCCTGCTTGGGCTGGTGGCCAGCAGATGCATCTGGTCCCATTTCTCAGACACAGAAGATGAGGTGAGGCAACTTGGCTCAGACTAGCTATCGGCCCAGACTTGCTGGAGGGAAGGAAGGGAGCCTTCGTTTCTGGCCCTTACCTGGTGTCATGGCCTTGGCCGGAACAGAAAGATGGAGCGTGCCACCAGGGAAAGAAGCCACAGATGGTGCTGGGCAGCAGTGATAATTACTGACCAACTTTGGTGCTGTGACGGGTCCTTTTGATCCATGAGCAAGATATTGGCACTCCGGTCTCCTAATCTCTAAATAATAGGTATGATACTAACTACCTTGCAGAGTTTTGTAGCAATGGTTTGAGAGAAAAGCTGCTCAAATCAAAAGCAGAGGTTATGCTTGCCTCATTCCCACCTCTAGTCCATTAGTGAGTCTGGTCTGGTTGACCTGCAGTTAGATCTCAAACCTGTCCCCTCCTGCCTGTCCTCCCTGCCACACCATCCGCTCTCACCTGATGACATCAAAAGCCTCCTGCTGTGTACTCTGCCTCCTCTCTTGCCTACGGGCTGGCTACCTACTTCCCTGAGTACATTTTCCACACAGCCACCAGGCTAGTCTTTACAAAGCAGAAATAGGATGCTTTCACTGCTTGCTGAAAAACCCTACACGAGCACTTCCAATCATGCTTGGATTAAAACCTGGAAACTGCCAGGGGAGGATGGCGGAGCACACAACATTAATCAGGATACCTGATCTCAAACCAGGCGAAGTGGGGACCAATGGGAGGCCCAAACTTTACCTGTACTGTGACCACTTGTATACCTAATCCTGAATTGTGCCCCACATCTTTAAAATAAAATATAAAATAATAATAATAAAATAAATAAATAAAACCTAAGCTCTACACCAGGGCCTATAGTGGTCCTTGCCTATCAGTTTCTCCATACCCATCATCTCTCACCCGCTCGCCACGCTGCCACCAAGCCATGTCCTTCCTCCGGGCCACTGCGGGTTCCTTGGCCAGAACCGCTCTCCTTATCAATTCCTCACCCTCTATCCCTGCTCAAATGAAGACTCCTTAGAAAAGCCTTTGCTAGCTGGGCTCAGTGGCTCAGCCTGTAATTCCGCGCCTTTGGGAGGCTGAGGAGAGTGGATTGCCTGAGCCCACGGGTTCGAGACCCGCCTGGGCAGGCGAGACCTCACCTCTACAATAAATCAAAAAATCAGCCGGGTGTGGTAGCGTGCGCCTGTCGTTCCGGCTACTTGGAAGGCTGAGGCGGAAGGATCGCTGGAGCCCAGCAGGTCGAGGCTGTGGTGGCCGGGAGCGGCCACTGCACTCCAGTCTGGGCGACAGAGTGAGACTCCAACTCAAAA